AATAATAATAATAACAATGAGTTTCCAGTGTATTTAGTAGGTCGTTCGAGTACACAAAGAAGGACACCGGGAAGTGTGATACTTCTCAACAGATTTTCTACGACTGTCTCTTAATACAACATTCTTTTCAAATTCTTACAATAAGAACTGAGACTGTATCCAATAGCTCCGCGCAGAACTCATGACTTCAATACAATATAGAAAAAAGAAACGTGACTCGACAGCCGATCATTTTAATTCGGCAACGCAATTCTACTTCAGTCTCAGATATACCGGATTCTCAACATGCACAACTTAATTCTAATGACTTGGTAGTGACCCGGGCAAGTTACAACGGTAATTCCGAATCTACTAAAGCTTGCATCAGAGCGGACGGCACGTGATCGATAGGATAAAGAGCACGTGCTCGTGGCAATAGGCCGGTACGACGTCGGCCATTCTAAATTCCGCGTAGATCTTAACGCGCGATCCGCTCGAGACGCCTACAAAATCTCTCGCGATCGGTGGCTTTACAATAGTAATCTTGATATGATGACGCCCGCCTCATCCGCACGATTCCTCGCTGTCTTAAGCTCTCGTAAGCCCCTGGTCCGTCAGCCGCCTCTCTCGTTACTTCGTCAGCCGGATTATTATTCCCGAGAGATCCTGCGTCCTTCGCGCTTTGCGGTCACCACACAAGTGCCGATGGGAAGTTTCCGCGGATCCACGCAGGCCGTTAGGCCCCTTTCCTATCGGGCCACTTCCTGATTTAATTGGCTCATCACGACCACGTGACCTCGCGACAAATCAGGCGAGTCCTTGCGTGTCGCGTATCCTCATGTCGCATGGCGCGCATTTCCAAATCAGCGGAAAATGCTTTCTGGCGATCAATGATCTCTTGGTGATCTCCACGGAGTTCGGCGCTTCGCCTAATGTCCGTCCAGAGCAGGTCCTTTCCGATGTCACGTCTCTCTCCGAGGCGTCTGTAATAAGGAGTGCGATAAACACCAATTGATAGCGACATTCCTAACAGATACAGAATAATACAACCTGCGTGTACCGCACTTCCCCTCGATCGCAGCTAAGGCCTCCATTAATCGTTCTCCGTCTTGGACGATGTGTTGTCTTCTTTCTTCTTCTAGGGGGTGAGGCGGAGAAAATACACAAATATAGCGCAGCCACCGTCTTCTATCGCAAACGGGTGGCGAAATTCAGACTCAGAATCACTTATAGCTAGCTGAAAAATAACTTAATAGCGACAAGACAGGCAAACAAAAAAAAGAAAAAAAATTAATAATGATACGAAATACATAATTAGTCGCCAGAAATAATACAAAAAAATAATAAAGTCGCACGCTCGCTTGCGCACTCGCCCTTTTAAGCTCGAAGGACTCAGGATCTCCCCCGAAAGTATTGTCAAAAGTGACTGACAAAAATTGTCACGTCACAGTATATAGTATGTAAAATTACATAACTAAATTTTGTTTTCTAGATTTCCTTGAAGACTTCAATATTCATGAAGTCAATGTTATTAATGACCAAAGTCAAGTGATATTAGACATGTTAAATTCTATTAATCGTAAGTTACAAATGCATTTTTTTACTGTTCTCTTTTTTTCAAATAAATTTCACTGACATGTCATTTTCAAAGAATGTATAACAAAAGTATTCCATGTTCTTATTTCATATTTTCAGAGAATATAACAAAAATATTTCGTGCACTTGGTACATTGACAGTATCTATAAATAGTGTAACAGATAAACTGCAGAATAATAATGAACTAAATCCAAATTTTGTCGACGAACATATTGATACTTTAAATACATTTCTCCCGCTACAAACAAAAGAATCTGCAATGGAGTTTGACTTGTTAGATGATGCTGAAAAACATAAAAAATTCGTATGTTCAAGTATATCTTAATGGCCATTCTACAATGTGCTTTTTGTTTCCTGTTTCTTGCTTTTTGTCTCTTGCCTTTTTACCTCTTTGTGCACTGTTTTACCGACAATCGTGTTTCTTGTCGCGTGTATCTTGTCTTTTCAAAAGTTCGTCAACTTTTATCTCAGGAAACAGAAAACGATGAAACATCACGTGGTACATATGCAATATGGTGGCATAGGTTAAATACAAATTGCGACATAATAAAAAAAATAGGATGTCGGATAAATAAAATGAAGAAAATCAGATAGATAAAGTTTTTGGCGAATTGTTAACTAATTTTGTGCGACAAAATCCTCGTCTTTACGATAAAAAATGCAAAGAATATAAAGACAAGAAGTTTGTTGCCGATACATGGATCTCTATCGCAAATAATTGTAATATGTCAGGTAGATAAATCAAATTTTTTTTAATGTTAAGATAAAAATTAAGATAATAAACTAATTTATACATGTAATGCTTACTTTATGGATATTAGATAGTCATATAATTTTAGATAGGTTAGATTAGATTAAAGAAGTTAGTTCATTCTACTTTACAGTTGATGCAGTGCAAAGACAATGGGAAACTCTTCGCAATCAATTCACTCGAGAACATCGTCTTATGATGACGTGTGAGCCATCAGGTACAGAGAATGACACATCTAAAAGACCACGTAAGACATGATACTTATACGACTCCCTTTTCTTTTTGGTTTCACATGATGGCCCATCGTAATACATCTAGCAACTTTATACGAAGAAATACAATGATCAATCAATCATCTCCATCATTATCAAAGTCTGCATAATTAACATCTGTGCCGTTACCATCTGAAACGTTTAGAACTCTGTAGAATCCAGATCTTATTACTGTTAGTGATGACTCAAATGTTTCAACTCCATCAACAGAAAAATCAATGTCAGAAACATCAACAGCTTCAGCATCTTCATCAACTTCATTTAATCAACCAATGTCGTTAGCTACTGCAAAGAGAAATTTAATTTTCCCACCACCTGATCAATCTGCAACTCGGAAGATGAAGGAATCTCAAAAAAAAACCAAGAACAGCTGTCTAAAATGATATGCAATACGACTGAGAATATAAACGAGCTTATTATGCATAACTTAGCAGAGAAACGCTCACAAGCTATCAGTGACGATGGAGAGAAAGCAGCAATAGCGAAAGCATTAATTTATGTATTAAAAAGAGTAAACTCCAAATACAAAATTCAATGTTACATGGAATGTTTATCTATTATAGATAAATATCACACCATGACAGCAGAGGAAACAATTCAAAATCTATAATTTCTTTCTAGCCATCGAAAAAGTACTTCTTTTTATGTAATTATGTTTTTATTGCGTAGGTAAAAAATATTATTTTGTTTTGTACTCTAATATGTATTTACGATACAACGTTTAACCTGCATAACATATAATAAGTAGAAAAACATGTGATTTTGAAGTCACTATAACGTATTTTTTCGCGAGATATAATATACGACTGTTTTGAGATTATTAATAACATATTTTATTTTTTAAGAGTAAACTCCAAGTACAAAATTCATAACAATGTTATATACATGGGATGTCTATTTTGGATAAGTACATAACATGACATCAGAGATTTAAAATATATTTAATAATGATTTTTTTTCCTTTTGATTTGAATGAGTGACTCGTAGGAGATTCTTGATTTTTCTTGATTTTTTCTTCACGCGGAGGTTTAATTTTACCGTTTCTTGTCGCGCGTTTAATGTTCTGTGCTCTAATAAAGTCTTCTGCTGAATCTTCAAATTGTATATGCGGTACTTGTACACTTATTTCGTCCTTCGTAGTGTTTATAATGCTCACGGGGTACATGTGTTCGCGGGGCTCGACCTGACAGCTCCCGATGAAAATCCCTGGCGCGGTTTCTTTAGCTTGCGTTACGATTCCAACGCGATTTTAGTCGGTTACCGTTTGGATGATGGTTTCGCTGCGAGGTGTCAGCGTTAATTTTTTATAAGGATGGAGTTTCAACAGTGGCGTAGCAAGGGGGGGGCGGCAGGGGCGGGCCGCACCGGGTGTCACCTTTTTTAGGGTGACACCCACCCGGTGACTCAACTTTAAGAACAATGTACAAACATTAAAAAAAAATTAAATCGCTAGCACAATTGTCTTCTTCGGGGATTCCTCCACAAGCACTAGCTCAGCTCTATGTATAATTCGAGGTTTCCCGTAAAAGCGGACGGCGCTGTCGTGTGGGATTCCCCGTCCCATAGTCGCGATCCTTGACGTCTCAGTTGCATCATTTCTCATTTGTTTCGTGAAGTGTGTTGTGTTTGGTTGGCGTGAATTGTTAAATGTGTAGTGATAAAAAAAAGACAAAATAATATTTTAGAAACTTAGATTCTGTTATTTGTGAAGATTAAAAGGATTGATTGATTCATATCGAATATTTTATAGATAAGATAATATTATAATTAAATTACTTTCCTAGTACTTCTACGGACGAAACCCATAGATTAATTTTGTAATGTAACGTATTAATTGAATAAATAAATTCAATTATTAAACAAGCTGCAACGGGTGCGACTCTGCTGCAATAAATGCAAGTCGTAATGGGTGCAAGTAGTGATGGGTGCGAGTCCCAGCACAATAACTTTCTGATTAAGAAATTATAGGATATCAGTCATTTTTGCGTCAATACGTATGGACTGACAACATAAGGTCAACCGGGGCTAATACGTCATAATACTTATAACGGGATTTTATCTGATTATAACAAACATAATATATTTCCTTATAAGCTATATATTATAATTAGAGATGCGCCGAATAGTGGTTTCACCGAATAAATATTATGTTAATTTGTGGTTTAGAAATATTTTTTTGAGGTTTAAAAATAAATGCTGATTTAAGGTTTAAAATTAATGTTGACTATACTAACTATAGGTTAAGAAATAAATATATTGACTTAAGGTTTCAAATTAAATGTTGATTTAAAGTTTAATTGCTTAATTTTATTAGCTTCCTTTAACACATTCTTCATAGGATTTTTTTGACTTATAATATAACATAAATTTTTTAGTGTGAGAATCAAACATCAAGTGAAAAATGCCCCGGGGAGTGCATACATCCAAAAGAAAAAGTGGATTTCAGCAAAGGAAAGCCAAACAGGCTAGAATGGATGTAGCTCAGAGTATGTCTGGATTAATTTTTAAATATGTTACAAAAACTGATGACAGTCCAAGTCCAAAGAAACTAGTTTTCACCTTGATGCAAATGCAATAGATGATTTAGATAATATCAGCTCATCTTCAGAAAGCAACATTGACAGGACAGAATTAATTAACACGAACAAAGAAGACGCTGAAAATAATAGTAACAATACTAATAGTGCTACTGATGAGAAAGATACTACTGACGTAAATGAACCATTTTCACACTTTAAGGATGTGTCAGAATGGAGTATTCCTGTTCCATACAATGTTCGCATTGAGATAATAAAAAAAGTAAGTGAATATTTTCAAAACAGAGAAGGACCATTTGCCACTGTATCTAGACACGGAACCAAAATAAAAGGTGACGCTCGTCATCTTTCAAAAGATTGGTTTTATAAAATTATGCCTAATGGTGAAAAAATCCTACGGTTATGGATGGTTTATTCCCCTACCTCTAATAACCTGTACTGCTTCTGCTGTCGTTTATTTGCTATGACCAATAATACCAATGCGGGAACATTTACGACTGGATTTCAAAAGTGGTGGAAATTAAATCCGAAAGTGGCTGACCACGAATGTACAAATGAACATCTAGAAAATCTTGAGAAATGGAAAACTTTGAAAATGAGACTAAAATTGAATAAAACAATAGATGATGCAGCTTTGCAATTGATGGATACAGAAAAACAGAAGTGGAAGCATCTTTTGACTAGATTACTGGATATAACTTTATTTCTGGCTAAACAAAACTTGGCATTTCGTGGACATGATGAAGGACAAGATTCTAAAAATAAAGGCAATTTTTTAGAATTAGTAAAACTATTGTCAAAGTATGATGTAGTGTTGAAAGAACACATGATGCAATTGGAGCAAGATAAAACTTCAAAAATATCATATTTGTCGCCAGATATACAGAATGAATTCATTAATGTTTTATCAAACCATGTGAAAACTAAGCTTGTCAACGAAATTAAATCGGCGAAATATTTTGGTATTATGTTTGATAGCACACCTGACATTTCACATATTGACCAAATGTCTGAAGTGATACGTTATGTAAAAATTGAAAATAGAAAAGTGGACGTCAAAGAAGTATTCCTTGGATTTTTTCCTTTGAAAGGAAAAAAAGCCTCTGATCTAAGCGAAGAAATTCTTGAGAAGCTTAAGACAGACGATTTAGATATTATGATGTGTCGTTCTCAAGGTTATGACAATGCTGCTGTTATGAGCGGTGTGCACGGAGGAGTACAGTCCATTATTAAAACAAAAAACAATAAAGCTATTTTTATTGGTTGTATTGATCATTCGATTAATTTGTGTGGTCAACATTCATTTGCCCAAAATGTATCTTGCGTTACATTTTTTGGAACGGTAGAGACGATTTTTTCTTTTTTTTCCGCCTCCACTAGCCGTTGGGAAGTGCTTATGAAACACAGCAAATTATCTGTTAAAAGACTCGCAACAACGCGTTGGAGTGCTCATTACCGTGCAGTAAAAGCACTAGCAGAGAATTTTGAAGGACTTGTAGACGCAATTGAGGAGTTGTGTGATGGACAAGAAAATATAGACACCAGAGGTGCTGCACAAAACCTCATGCCTGCTGTGTGCAATTACACTTTTTTATGCTATCTATTTTTCTGGTATGATGTTCTTCGGGAAATAAATGCTGCACAGATTGCATTGCAAAGTAAAGGCTTGATTGTTGACGAAACTGCTACAAAAATAGAGGCACTTCGTCTTTATATCGAAGAAAAACGGGGTCACATTGTGGAAGAGGCAATAGATATTGCTACAAAAAAATCAGAAGACTACGATATTTCAACAGAAAGACGATTCCGTCGTAAAAAACGGGTTGTTGGTGAGATAGCCAGCGATGCAGGACTCACACTGAAAGAAGAACTTCAAAAAGATATGTTGGAATGTCTTGACCGATTCAGAGTTGAACTCCAGACAAGATCGAAGTCTCTTCAAGATGTGGCTTCATTGTTCGAGATCGTACAAACAAATACTTTGCTTTTGGCGAATACTGAAGAACTGAAATTAGCTACATCCAAATTTACTGATTTTTATGATGAGGTCTCAGAAACAGAATTACTTTTGGAGATACCAAGACTGCGAAGACACTTAAAAGCCGCTAATGTTACAGTTTCTGCTTGGGTATCTCTAGATTTTTTAAAGTTTATTGTAGAATGGGATTTTACAGAATCTCTTCCAAATCTTATGATTGCACTAAAATTGTTCATGACGGTTTGCGTCTCCGTAGCTTCATGTGAAAGGAGTTTTAGTAAACTAAAATTAACAAAAAACTATTTGCGGGCAACAATGACCCAATCGCGGCTTAGCAATCTTGGTATATTAGCCATCGAACACGAGGCAATACAAAATATAAATTTTGATGAAGTTATTTCTGAGTTTGCAGCTGTCAAAGCTAGAAAGAAGAAATTTTAATTGTGAGATAAAAATATTTTTTCTGTGTCTTAGTTTTTATTGTGTTTTGTTATTTGTTTAATATTTTAAATATAAATATTAAATGATTCATGACGTTTATCATATAAAATTTATTGCTTTTTACTTTCGATGGGGTGACACCACCAACTTCCGCACCGGGTGCCACCCAAGGTAGCTACGCCACTGAGTTTCAATATTACTCCATCAACTTGTAGATAAGTTTTTTGATCGCTTTTAATTTTATGCTTCTGCAGGAAATCCATACCGAGTATTCCTGCATAGTCGATAGGGAAGTCATCCTTCACGATGTGAAAGGTGTGTCGTATTTTCTTGTCTCCTATCAATACAATTGCCTTTATTTTTCCAATGATTTTGATTTGATGGCCCGTCACTCCGGTGAGAGCCATTGGCTTCTCGGTTATGAGAGTTTCGCCTTTCAAATTCCCTACTTTAATTTGCGTTAGTGTAGCGCCGGTATCAAATCTGGAGACACGGTAGTGTCTCGGCGCTAAGCCAAGCGCGCGACACTGCCGTGCCTCCTTTACGCGACACGAAGAATTTTTCGGGTCGAGATGATCAGATCTCAGTAACGGCTGAACCGATCAAGTTCTACATACGCTCAATCGACAGGAAATACTAAAATTGTATGATAAAAGTGCTTTCATTTTTTTTCTACGTGCCCTACGAGCGGAGATATCGCGATGCAAAGTCCGGATCTATGAATTTTCACGTTTTATTAAAATTAAGATACGTCGTCGACCAGGGAAGTGATGGGAGAAATGGGAGAAATGTCCGTCTCGTTTTTCCGATAATAGAGGGCCTTTGACTTTATGTGTTATCTCACTCTATCACTCTATCTATCATCTCACTCTATCTATATCTAACCAGCAGACAGTTTTGCATGG